TATGTTTTCTCTGTATAAATGCTTTGGGATTTATAAAGCCAAATGTCTAGATACAAAGACTATCAAAAGCGCCCTTGATATGTGGGGTTTTCATCTTCTAATAAACAACTACATAACAATTATTTAGCAAAAAAAACTACATAACAATTATTTACATAAATTATGTATCTATATTATATCTATAGGAAAATAAAATTTGGATAACCAAACGTAGTCTTCATCAAGTCAAAGTAGTGTGAATCTCATCATAATAAGAACCTACACTACTAGGAGCAACGCGAAAATTCCATTTTAATGTCACGAATGATCGTCTGATTTTCGTATTAATGTTGGTCATTAATATAGAGTTGATATATACTAGTACTATTTATAGAAGGCATACAAAAATCATTTTGAAAAGCAAGGCATCAAAAATATAATTTGGGTGAACAGAGCAAATATTCGGAAACAACATGTACAAATGGAGAGTGAGTGGATATGAAGAAAATTCAATGAATGCAAAATCTTAAAGATCGACCAAGATGCAGGCTTCCTTCGAAAGCGACGAACCACTTCACATACCTTTTTAAAAATTTGGATATAAACTTTTTGATTTTATCTTTTACACATACACTCTTATATTCTCATTATTTATATCAGGTCCGGTCCAATGTTGTAATGGACCTTGTGCAAATAAAAAAAAAATTGGGAAATTTAGAATCTTTTTAACAAAAGTTACAAAAAATTAGTGCCATTTTTACCAACTTTTTCCAAATTTAGGACCTTTTTGTAAATTTTTTTTACCAAAACTGTTGGATCCATCATTGGGCCCTATGCAATTGCTCTGGTTGCACACTCTCTTGGCCGGGTCTGATTTATAAATATGCGCCCATATATAAGTTATGAATTATTTTCTTTTTTCTTGGATTGTAAATTCGTTTTGGTCTGCACATCTTCGAAACGTACAAGCGACAATTTTCCATCTCTTGAAACAGAGAAACAATGTTCTTCACAATATGATCTCGATCCCTGCCAACATCATTTTCAAGAGTATCAACCGTGAAGTTAGAAACATCATTATCTTCAAGAGTATCAACCGTGAAGTTAGAAACATTATTTTGGCTAGAAGACATAGAAGATGTTTCACCAATCTTATGTCTTTTTGGCTTACTTAGAGCATCTCCATCGCTCGTATATAGAAAGAGTTTTTAATATT